GATTCAGAGAAATTAAGTTCCTGTTCATCTAACGCATTTCTGAACGAGTTTTTAGCATAATTAATCATTTTGTGAACGACGTCATCGATTTCTGACCCTTCTCAGAGTATATTTGAATTTTTAGGAAATAAAAAATTGCAAAAAATATACATGGCTGACGAAGAAGTACTTAGCAAAGCTGGTATACACATTGATGAAATGAATCGAATACGACTCTTGGATCCAGGTATCTAGATTTCTTCATTGATTTTTCATTTATGACATTTCAAGAAATCGATGAGTAATCGATCAGAGTATACGAAGCTTTGAGTGGGACTAGCAAACCATAAATAACTTTGATCCTGTTTCAAAAACGGCTGAACCACAGAACTCAAGCCGCCTTCCAAGACTAAAGACTTTGTGCTATTGTTTAGCTCACTCTTGAGAAAAATGAATTTCTTTCTGAATATCAATATCAACATACTACCCGTGACATTCTAGAAATTCATCAAAGTGTAGAACCCAAGTTATAGAAAGTTCAAGTTAGAAATTATTCATTTGATTTCATTTATTCTCTTCTCCTTTGCTCTCATAAATCAGTTCACATCAAAAAACTCTACAAGTATTTCTTTCTGCAGAAATATCTGACACTCTGAGCGATTTGAGAGGTCAAGCAAGAGACTTTGGAGCACAGATGACTTCATTCCGATCGACCACAGATGGACTACTCAAGGCTTTCGAAGAGGTACAGTTATCGACAAGTCCTTTTTGAGACAGGTTTTCCAGAAAATCTATCTCACTATCAAACCGAAAACGATTGAGTGAGATCGACCGAATTGAGAAAATCAAAAAGAGATTTTTCGTCCCATGCGCTGAAATAACTTTTTTTAAAATTTTACATCGCCTGAGTTTCTCTTGTTGGCCGCAAATATGTCGGCAACTAATCCCCAAATTGAAGCGTTAGCTGAAAATATAATACAGCGGATCTACAGTCACACACCATACAAAAAGGAAGAAGAAATAGTGAAAGAATGAAAGCAAACTACAACAAATGTTTACTTAATTATGAATCCAGTAGATCCTCGATGGCTTTTGAAATACTCAATGTCCACCGCAAACTATCCTCATTGTCGACATCAGTTTAAAAAGAAAAAGTTGGCTTATTCAATCAGAAGAGATCATTCCAGATGGCTACATTGGTGGAAGCTCAGAAGTTACGAGCGATGGCTGCTCGAGCTGCTCTTCAGTCGGCAGATAAAACTAAGACATCGGATTCACGGCAGTTACAAGTAAGATTGATGATCAAACTAGAAGTTATGAACAATTTCGTTCACTCACTCCTCCTTTGCCCCACTATGGACCTAAAGAGTATTTTTTTTTGAATTATCGATCCACACAAGTCAGGTTCCTCTACCAATTGAAGTCCTCTCCGAAAAAAAAAACCGACTATATGCGGTTATGACAGGTCTGAGTTCGATTTTCGCCAGTGGAATCGGTTTTGCAGTCAATCTGTTTAGCAGAGACCATCTTATGTCTAAGGAGTAGGATGAGCATAATGATAAACACTTCCTCAGCGCCTCAGTGTGTGGTCCGATGTGGTCTAGTGGTTAGGATTTGCGGCTCTCACCCGCAAGGCCCGGGTTCGATTCCCGGCATCGGAATACGTTTTGCACTCAATCTTTTCGACGGAATTTTGCAACTCTTTCACATGGGGGGATTGTGTATTGGCTGAAAGTGCCCTAATAGTTCGTTCAGTACTGAAAATAGCGAGAGAGCGATTGGTGTCCATTTTGGATACAAGCTACCGTAAGAAGCACCGCATTCGTAAGGTGTTCGAAAAGTAGTCAGTGGCAAACTTCAGTATCTGTTTGTTTACTTATTATGGAATCCAATGAAAAATAAAGCCCGTCCTGAAAAATATTGCAAACCCAGTTCTTCGCTTTCGTTGCGAAAACTCCTAGTAACCTGCTTGACAGACTACCCCTTCATTCACCGTCACTGTGGATTTTACGATGATTGAAACTCTCTCCTATGGAGGGCAGGATCGGTTTTTTGTTTTCTCGATGTGATGGATTTCGCGGCAAAGCATTTTTTGAAGATATTTGGGATCAACCTAAGTTCCTGCATCTTCATTTACAGATTCAAATACGTGAGAAGCAAGTGGAGTTGGAACGATTGCGAGTCGAATTGGCCGCTTTACAACAGGTGGAACAGGAACAAAAAGATATCATACAACAGTTACTACACGGATGATTCCTCGAGTTTGAGTTTCAAACGAAAACGGCTCACCCGTCGGGTATCTGTGGCATACCACCGATCTTAGGCACCTCCGTGAATTCTTCTTTATTGATAATGATACAGTCCTTTCCTGGACATCTTGCTTGATTTTGAAGTCCGATACTTTGGTTCCGTTGGTTCTTTCCGAGTCGTTTCTAGAGCATCCATTTGGTGGCTCTCGGCAATCACCTATAGTTTTCCAGTAATACGATCTGTTGAATATGTGGAGCCCGTGATGTGATTGAAAAATTTATTGCTCAAAGACTGATAAATATGATTTTGTTAAAAGGCTCTGCTCAAGAACACCTCTCGATATGGCTTTTCGTCCTTTACATGTTCACGAAAGTGAGCCACCCTACTATTGAACCATTCAGAAAGGTGCTAACCGAAACTGCAAAATGAGTTTCCTGAAGCAGCTATCAGAGTTTGTCTGAAGGTAGTGTCTATTAGAAGTTCGCTGTTAACAATCATGGAAATTGACGTCAACGTGGTGTACATATTGGTAGTTCTTCCTCTCTTTAGCAAAAGGCGCTGGTTTGGTCCCAAAGGCCTCAAGGGCTATTGCATGATTTGCTTCCATTTCATCTTAACTTTTTTGTGAAAATTTTTCATATTTGGCTGCAAATTTCGCGTGAAATATTTTTCCTAGAGTAAATAGTTTTCAACTGAATTGATATCAAAATTGTATTTTTGGTTAACTGACCTCTATTAGTTTCAGTGATAATATTACTATTCCAATAATGAAGCTATTTATTTAATTTATGTTAGAAAGAGGCGGAGGATTTAGACTTGATCCTTGGATAATTCGTGAGATACTGCGCCCTTTACTACACAACTTCCGAATAGGACCCAGAATTTTTGAATTAATCCGATTTATTGCCTGTCTTTAATCCCACACGCAATAAGTTGCTTCAAAAGTATACTGCTTTATCTGAAAATTGTTTATGTGCATTTCGAAGAAGTAAGGCTGTAGATCAACTTCGAAGGGTGGGTCAGCGCCCAAATCATGAATTGGGCCGCCCGTCATCGATTCGACACCTCCCACGTCGACTTGTCCGCGCGCCTCTTCACTTTCTTATAGATTCTTATTTATAATTTTTCATTTAATTTGTTNCTCTAAACATTGCAGCATTTCTGCGGTTTTATGATCCATTGCCTACATGATTTTCTTATTAAAGCAGTACCACCACTAGTTTTTCTTCATCGCTTGACAATATAAATTTTTTTCCGGTGCAGGGCACCGGGACCTTATTGACCATCGCATCTACCTGAAGCTTCTCTCTCAGTAGATTTTTTTTCGTTGAGAAATCTAACGTTGTGTTCTTTCCTTCGATGCTTGACCTCACCAGGCTTCTTCAGAGAAACACACCGTCTTTGTCCATTAGAATCGCACCTATTTCTATTTCTGAGTGCTCCGATGGTGGGCTTTAGCCATCTGGTAGCGAACTCTTCTCCTTGTCAATTATGTTGACTTGTCCCCGATTCTTACGCCTTCGCTTCTTTCCAACGCGTCTCCTGGAGGCATTGGATTCTAATGTCTGTGCTTCTGAGGGTAAACTATTTATTGAGCTTTCCCAATAAGCGATTCAATGTTCAGCGTTTAAATAAAATAGAAAATAATGTCAAGAAAGGCAGTACAGGAGTGGTAAACACCTAGTTTGAGAGAGGGATGGATAGAAGGCATAACTAGTTTAATACAAGATGTACATGCAGTACTTTTATTTTCCAATAACCACTTGGGAATGTTATGTGCGTAGTCAGCGAAGGTGAAGGCAAAATTCATTCTATGCACCTTAGATGTCGTTTTCGTCTTAGTAAGCCGTCGCTGCAAAACACCCTTTTTTCAGTGGGCTGTTTCCTGACTAAAACTTCATCGTCGATATAGTTGTCTAAAAAACTCACGTTGCACTCACATTGATAATGACCGAACCCAACACCAGCAAAACAATCTGAACAGGCTTATTTCCAGTTGATACGCTTTAATCGAAGGCTATATATTACCGAGGAATCTTACCGCAATCAGAGAGGAGTATCGTGCCATTGTTGGGCTTGCTATCTGTAAAGAATTAAGAAGCTCAACTGTCTAAAACATGGGGTGGCATTACTAACGACAGCGAAAAATGAGCAAAAGATTCAAAACGATTCAGTAGGTGACTGAAAGCATCAACAGGGAAAATGCAAAATGGTATTGAGTTGAATTTCAGTGTAATATGCGCTGAGCTATATACTGGCTAGTTTCTTTTGAGTCATGAATTGCATCTCAGTTGTTTCTGTTTTGAGTACTTTCATGGGCAGGCCTTATTACGACCACAGCATAGCTAACCCGGACCTGCAAAAGCTGGCTCCATTTCATGATCACCAAAACTTTTCAGATACCATGACGGATGGAACCAAACAATGAGTCAGTCAAGTTCGGCTCCATTGTCTCACCCACAGAAGCACATCATCTTCCACTTTTCAATAATTTTATAGAACTACTGTTCGTCTGCGAAAACGGTTGAGAAACGGAACGCTTCGGCCAAAAAACGAATGTCGAATCTTCTCGGTGCCACTACATGAAGGGAATCCAGAAAGCGGAGAATTTGAGTCAGTAAGTCAACGTTACAAATTCATAGGAGTGAAGTATGGGCTCATAATAGGCAGACTCACTACCGATTTGTCGAATACCAAGGAACAAATGGCGTGGTCAATTTGAGCAAAACATTACCCACAAGGGACTCTGGTAATCTCCCAGGTAATTCACGTTCTTCCCTCTCCTAAACAGCGATTGCTCTTGATTATGTGAGGGTAACAATCAAACGTCTAGAGGGAAAAAATGAATCACTGCACAGAAGCACAACACAGTCAGATGATATTCTATCATTTTTGAAAACGAGGGAAATGAAAGCACATTTGGAGTGGGAGCCGCGGCTCGGGGATCGATCTATATAGGTATTTGAAAACTAGCGTTCTCCTTAAACGTCACACTCTTTCATAAGTTCGTTATCATCTTATAGGTGCGAAAATGGCCGCATGTAATTATCGTCCTTGAATGAAAACTTTAGAGAGCTTAGAATACAAATAAGCATTCAATCACGTCCATTGATGAGCTTTCATCTTCCTTAGACCTCAGCGACCATTCCGGCCAGTTTCTATCTCAGTGCAATAGAAAAGGCGTGATGATGATGTCGATAAAGGGCCACGTCTGTGTGTCAATCCATATGCACTGGCCGAGAGGCATAGATCGTTAAATGATGGATATTTCGAGGTACCACAGCACTAATTGTTAGCTGGAAAAGGCTTATTTGTGGGTTGTCAATCATAGCTCCTCTTTCTTCTGTAGGGCTGTGAGTGGTGCATGTAACTGCAGGTGATTTGGCCTCTACAGTATTACTCCGGGGATGGTAGATCGGCTAGGACTTTTTCGTGGGCTATCCGACGTTTAGAGTGCCAATCCCATTTAACTGCTTCAACAGAGGCTACCGAGAAGTGGTCCACTTCTCGGTAGCCCCCGCGTACATACTCTTCGCAGATTTTGGCAGAAATTTTGTGTGCCATATCTTGGGACGTACTCACCTTATCGAGAATCGCTCAGATTTTTTTGTTTTGACAGAGTACTCCCATCTGCCGATCTATCACCCTGGGTTTGACACTAGCTGAGCTGCAGACGCCGTTCAAGGGAAGGGAAGAAGGCGAAGTAGCTGGAAGATCGCTTACAACAAAGTCACCTGTGGGTAATGATTTGCACGAATCGACTCTCTCGGAACCGGCGAATCGGCAGTTGGTCTGCCTACCGTGAAGCTTCATAGAGCTGCGTGTTACGGTTATTTCAGGTTAGGATCAATTAAGAAGAGTAAGCATATGCGTAAGCAGACGACGCGGACCCGATAAAGCTCCTCCAGGGCGAACTTTTTGTTGTCGCTGTAATTCGGTCATGAGTTTGTAAGGATGGCTTATGACTTAAATTCACTGAATCTGATCTAAATTTTCTGGATTCCCTTCGTATTGAGACACCAAGGAGATCCTACATTCGTTTTTTGGCCGAAGCGTCCCGTTTCTTGCCCGTTTTCGCACGCGAACAGTAGTTGCATTGAGTTAGCTGNGAGCGGTAGGTTGCTTCTGCTGTTTGGGACAATGGAGCCAAACTTTGTTGCTTGTTTTGTTCCATCCGTCATGGTTTCCCAAAAGTTTTGGTGATCATGAAATGGAGCCAGCTTTTGCAGGTTCGAGTAAATTAAACAATGAATCGAAACAATGCCTGCCCATGAAAGCAATCAGAATAGAAACAACCGCAGACAAGAATTTATAGTCAAAATAAACATAGCAAGAGTATAGCTCAGAATGTTTCATTGAAAATCAAGTCAATAACATTTTGCATTTGTCTTGTAGATGCCATCATCCGTCATCTGCTGAATCGTTTGAATTCTTTTGCTGTTAGTCGCCGTTGTCATTAATACCATTCCCTGCTTTAGTCAGTTGAGCTATTATGCATCAAGCTATTATTTGAACGCTGAACATTGAGCTGAGCAGATTGAACTTCTTGGGAAGACGCGAGAAACTGCGCATTCTTTGAAGCGTGGAAAGATCAGAGTTCAATGTCTCACAGAGGCACGTTGCGAATAAGCGAAGGTTAGAGGAGAAATCGGGGGAGGGGCAAGATTTTCACAACGGAGTAGACACCGAGCGGAACTATGTAAGTGACGGAGCTCTTCAACCTTTTCTCCGCTGTCAATAGGATCAGTGGTCTAATTGTTGCTGTGAGGACAGCTACGTAAAAGGTCTCACAGAGGCACGTTGCGAATAAGCGAAGGTTAGAGGAGAAATCGGGGGAGGGGCAAGATTTTCACAACGGAGTAGACACCGAGCGGAACTATGTAAGTGACGGAGCTCTTCAACCTTTTCTCCGCTGTCAATAGGATCAGTGGTCTAATTGTTGCTGTGAGGACAGCTACGTAAAAGAGATTCTGATCTTCAATATCTGTGTAGTCACTTAAAAG